TAAGAATTAAAGTTTGGGGAAAGATTTTCCAATCAAATGGACCCAAGAAAAAAGTAGGGTTAGCAATCTTAATATCCAACAAATTGGACTTTACTAAAATCAATCAAAAGAGATGAAGGAGGTCACTTCCTATTCATCACAGGAGAAATCCATCTGGATGAAGTCTCAATTCTGAACATTTATGCCCCCCCCAAAAGCATCCACATTTGTAAAAGAAACATTACTAAAACTCAAATCACACACAAAACTGCACACACTTATAGTGGTAGTCTTCAACACCCCACTCTCACCACTGGATAGGAACACCCAACAGAAACCTAACAAAGAAAAAAAGGAGCTAATCAAAGTTATGGCCCAATAGGAGTTAACAAATATCTATAGAACATTCCATCCAAATAAAAAATGACTTACCTTCTTCTCAGCACCACATGAATCTTCTCTAAAATTGACCACAAACTTGGCAACATACCAAACCTCAACAGGCACAAAAAATTAAAATAACCCCCTGTATCCTATCAGACCACCGTGCTTTAAAGTTAGATTTCAATAACAACAGGAATTACAGGAAACCTACAAACTCATGGAAATTAAGTAACACCCAATTGCAAAATTCCTGGGTTGAGGAAGAAATAAAAAGAAAGTAAAGATTTCCTAGAATTCAATGAGAATGTGGACACAACATACCCAAAATCTATGGGACCCTTTGAAAGCAGTGCTAAGAGGAAAGTTCATAGTGCTAAGTGCCCACATGAAGAAACAGGAAAATAATCACACTAGAGAATTAACAGCACAACTAAAAGCTTTAGAAAATGAAAAAGCCAATACACCCCAGAGGAGCAGATGCCAGGAAATAATCAAATTGAGGGCTGAAATCAATAAAATAGAAATTAGGAAAACAATACAAAGAAAATCAATATAATGAAGAGTTGGTTCTTTGAGAAAAATCAACAAAATAGACAAACCTTTATCCAAAATTACCAAACAGCAGAGAATGAACATGCAAATCAATAAAATCAGGAATGAAAATGGGGACATAACAACAGACACAGAGGAAATCCAGAGAATCATCAGGTCATACTTTGAAAACCTATATTCCACAAAATTTGAAAATCTAAAGGAAATGGATAATTTTCTGGACAGATTTTACTTACCAAATTAAATCAAAAACAGATAAGCAGCTTCGATAGACCTATAACCCCTAATGAAATTGAAGCAGTCATCATAAGTCTCCCAACCAAAAAAAGCCCAGGCCAGATGGCTTCAGTTCAGAATTCCACCAGAAATTCAAGGTACAGCTAATAGCGATTCTCCTCAAAATATTCCACACAATAGAAGCAGAAGGATCATTGCCAAACTCTTTTTATGAGTCTTCAATAACCTTGAAACACAAGCCACACAAAGACACAACAAAGAAAGAAAACTACAGACCAATATCCCTCGTGAACATTGATGCAAAAATACTCAATAAAATAGTGGTAAATTGAATCAAAGAACACATTAGAGAAATCATCCACCATGATCAAGTAGGCTTCATCCCAAGGATGCTAGGATGGTTCAACATATGAAAATCCATCAATGTAATCCACCATATAAACAGACTGAGGAAAAAAGCCACATGATCATCTCTCTAGATGCCAAGAAATCATTTGACAAAATCCAGCACCCCTTCATGACAAAGGTCTTGGAGAAATCAGGGATAACAGGAACATACATCAACATAATAAAAGCAATATACAGCAAGCCAACAGCCAACATCAAATTAAATGGAGAAAAACTCAAAGCAATTCCTCTAAAATCAGAGACAAGCAAGGCTGTCCACTCTCTCCATACCTCTTCAATATTGTCCTTGAAGTTCTAGCTACAGCAATAGGAAAACAAAAGGAGATCAAGGGAATACAAATCGGAAAGGAAGAAGTCAAACTCTCACTATTTGCAGATGATATGATAGTCTACATAAGTGACCCGAAAAATTCTTCCAGGGAACTCCTACAGCTGATAAACACCTTCAGCAAAGTGGCAGGATACAAGATTAACTCAAAATTCTGTAGCCCTACTATATACGGATGACACATTGGTGGTGAAAGAAATTAGAGAAGCATCACCCTTTACAATTGCCACAAACATCATAAAATACCTTGGGGTAACACTAACCAAAAAAGTGAAAGACCTGTATTCTAAGAATTTTGACTTTCTAAAGAAAGAAATTAAAGAAGATACCAGAAAATGGAAAGATCTTCCATGCTCTCGGATACATAGTAAAAATGGCAATCTTGTCCAAAGCAATATACAGATTCAATGCAATCCCTATCAAAATCCCAACACAATTCTTCACAGACCTTGAAAGAACAATTCTCAACTTTATATGGAGAAACAAAAGACCCAGGATAGCCAAAACATACCTGTACAATAAAGGAACTTCTGGAGGCATCAACATCCCTGACTTCAAGCCCTATTACAGAGCTATAGTCCTGAAAATAGCTTGATATTTGCACAAAAATAGACAGGTAGACCAATGGAATAGAGTAGAACCCCCTGATATTAACCTACACACCTACGAACACCTGATTTTTGACAAACAATCCAAATTTGTACCCTGAACAAAGAGAACATCTTCAACAAATGGTGCTGGCATAACTGGATGCAGACATGTAGAAGACTACAGATAGACCCAAGCCTATTGCCATGCACAAAACTTACGTCAAAATGTATCAAAGACCTCAACAAAAACCCAGCCACACTAACCCTATTAGAAGACAAAGTGGGAAATACCCTTCAATTAATTGGTACAGGACACAACTTCCTGAACATAACACCAGTAGCAGAGACACTGAGATCAACAATTAATAAATGGGACCTCCTGAAGACTGGGAAAAGATATTCACCAACCCCACAACTGACAGAGGGCTGATCTTCAAAATATACAAAGAACTCAAGGAGCTAGTCTCCAAAACACCAAACAATCCAATTAAAAAGTGGGGTACAGAACTAAATGGACAATTCTCAATAGAGGAATCTAAAATGGCTGAAAGACACATAAGAAAGTGTTCAGCATCCTTAGCCATCAGGGAAATACAAATCAAAACAACTCTGAGATACCATCTTACTCCTGTCAGAATGGCCAAAATCAAAAAAACCAATGACAGTTTATTTTGGAGAGGATGCAGAGAAAGAAGAACACCCCTCCACTGCTGGTGGGAGTGCCAACTTGTACAGCCACTTTGGAAATCAGTATGGCGACTCCTCAAGAAAATGGGAATCAGTCTACCCCAAATTCCAGCAATTCTACTCTTAGGCATATACCCAAAAGAAGCACATTTATACAACAAAAACATCTGTTCAACAGGAAATCAGTATGGCGACTCCTCAAGAAAATGGGAATCAGTCTACCCCAAATTCCAGCAATTCTACTCTTAGGCATATACCCAAAAGAAGCACATTTATACAACAAAAACATCTGTTCAACAATGTTCATAGCAGCACTATCTGTAATATCCAGAAACTGGAAGCAGCCTAGATGCCCCTCAATCGAAGAATGGATAGAGAAAATGTGGTACATTTACACAATGGAGTATTACTCAGTGAAAAAAACAAACAATGGAATCTTGAAATTTGCAGGAAAATGGATGGAACTTGAAGAAACCATTCTGAGTGAGGTAACCCAATCACAAAAAGACAAACATGGTATGAACTCACTTATATGTGGATTTTAGACATAGAGTAAAGGATTACCAGCCTACAATCCACACTTACAGAGAAACTCGTAAACAAGGAGGACCCTTAGAGAGACATCTGTGGTCCCTTGGTGAAGGGGAAAGTGTCAACATCCCCTGAACAAATTCAGAGCAGGGGAAGAGGGGGGAGGGAGCTTCAAGAATGAGAAGGGAAGAAGAGGAAGGATGCAGAGGTCCTAAGGGAACAGAAAGGTTGAGTCAGGGGAAGAATAAAAGAATGGATATGTGATAGGTAGGGTTATATTCAGGTGGGGTGGTTGGGGAGGAGGGGAGGGAAAGGGAACTGGGATTGTCATATAAAACAATCTTGTTTCTAATTTAAATTTAAAAATCTGAAAAAAATTACAAACTAAAATAAAAGAAGCCTGATCCATCAGCCAAACATTTTCTAATAAGAAAGAAGTCTACAACAATATTCTCATTTTTGACAAGGAAACATAATTTATGAGTAGTGTCACCATTATTTTGAACAACCCATTTGGTTTGAAATGTCATCTTTGTCTCAGACTAAATTTGCATGTTTTTGGAACTAGTCTGGACTATAGCTTCATCTTCCCAAGAAGGGACATTAGGCTCAGAAGCGTCATTTTCACTATATAATTTTTAAATTTGCATTTGGAAGTCAAGTCAAAAGGACACATGGAAACCTGGGGAAAGATTTTTAGTACTGTACTGAACAAAAACCTAATTCCATAATATGTTAAAGAGTTTTTTTGCAAAATAAAATAAAACCAACTCAAGGAGGAACTGAGGATACTAATAAGAAATTCAATAGAAAACAAATGTAAATGACTTAAATTATATGAAAAGGTACTCGACTTCATAATTATAGATAGCAATCTAAGGATATAGGAAATATTAAGTTACTGGACAAAAAAAGCCCACCTAATTTAATGTCCACTTCTGATGAGGGAGAGAAAAAAAAGATGGTTCCAGACATTACACAGACTAGTACATCACTGAAGGACAATTAAAGCAGCAGTGTTAGGAACGGTTGTAAGAGCTCACATTGTCTCAGCACTTACTCTCCCATAGACATTGTCCATAGGTCTCACTAGGCTGAGTTAAGAGCACTTGGTGCATAATCATGAAGACAGGAGTTTAGGTCCCATTGGATACATCAAACAGACACATTTAAAAAAATATTTTATTATTTTATGTATATAAGGGCTTACCTGGGACCCAAGGAGGCCAGAAGAGGGTGTTGAATCCTCTATGGCTGAAGCTATAGATGGTTGTGAGCCACCATATGAGTGTTGAGATTAAATCCAGGTTCTCAAGAAAAGAAGCCAGTGTTCTTAACTGCTGAGTCCTCTCCCCAGTCCCCTAAACACAATATATATTTAATTGATATTAATAATATATATCTCAATTAAATATCTTAAGCTTTAAAAATTACTCAGTGTCAAAATATTCATAAAAATTTCAAGTGTTTATATTTTATACCCATTAAATATAATGAATGGGCTAAGGAAAGTAACTACATATCAAATTAAGTTTTCTCTAAAATAAATGCAGTCTGGCGGTATGTACATTTGGGTGTGGCAAGACAGCTTTTACTCTGTGTGGCTCTCAGGAACTTTGCTTCTTTCAGCATCATCCAAGTGGTATGGTCCTGGGCAGCATGTGAAATATACCATAGGTAAGAAATTGCACAAGGGACAAATGGACATATCAGCAGTCCTCAGACAAAACTCTCTGGAGCTGCCACATGACACTTGCTCTTACATCACTTTGGTGACAAGGAAGTCTGGAAAATGTATTCTTAACTATGAGGAGCTATATGCATAACTAAGCATTGAATTCTGAGAAAGAAAGGCCATCACTGGGCTCTCCAGGGAGCTCTTTCCTTTACACTGACAACCAAAGGAACAATTTCTAACAGATTTGTGGCACATTTGTATAAAAACACATCATACTGGTTATTCTCCAGTGATCCAGATCTGTGTTCAGTCTTCTCTGCCTGCTCTGAGCCTCACAGGCTGACTTGCAAGGACTGCCTTACTTGGGCTTGCTCCTGTTTTGGCTTCCACTTTCAAGCAGTGGTTAGGAAATACCAGCAGGAACCTAGAGAGCAGAGAAGACTGAGATCACATTATTCATTCTTCTTGTTCCTACAAAAGTGTCACTAGCCTCTAGTAACACTGCCTGCCTCCTGTCCCTTCATGCCTAGGGTTGGCAAAGGTTTCTCACTGTTGCTAGCTCCTGAGGGCTTAGCTGTTTATTACTGGCTCTGTTAATCCTGCCAGCACTGTGTAAATAGCCTCTCCATTATTACACTCTTCAGTTAGGTTTTGGATGCACCATCTGTTTCAGCTGACTTTGGCTAGTCACATATGCAAGATGATTCTCACTGCAGCATCACTAGAAATAGCAATAAACTAAAAATAAATTAAATATTCATCAATGGAGATTTGGCTAAATACCATGAGCTTATAGTTAGTATATTATGCAGCAATTAAAAAATAATGCCTCACTGTACACTTAAACAGTTAAGTAGCTCTCGAGTCTTATGACCACAATAAACATTTTTGAATATCTATGAGCTAAAATAGAATACACAATGATAGGATGCAGCCCATTATTATTCACACACACACACGCGCGCACACACACACACACACACACACACACACACACACACACACACGATCTCAATCTTGATATGTTTGTATTTGTATATGCATATAATACATATACTTCCAGCTAGAAATTTTATTAGTGGTTCCTTCTGGTGAAAAATAATTGAGGACTAGGGTAGGACTCTACTAAGGACTTTTTAAATCACATGAGGTTTTGCTGTATATGTATGTACATACACACATGTATACATAGTATATACACACATATATGTATAAGCTAGTTGGAGACAGTATTTTCTATAGGACACAAATGGGAAGCATATGAACAACAATATGAGAAAAAGGGGATGTTTGTGCTTGAGAATGGAGCAGCAACCCTGTTTGAATCACTTAGTACAAAGCCTGTTTTCTAACTGATCCCTGCTGGCTACTTGGGAGTGGCAACACTTGAGTTCTGGCTTTCTTGGATTATGGCCTTTTACACTGAGCTAGGTTTTAGTTTGCTTGTATAAAAGTTTAAGTAAGCGTGCTAGAGTCCCTTATAGCCTCCTGAGTAGCTATTTTAAATTAGAAACAATCTTATTTTACATGTCAATCCCAGCTGTCTCTTCCCCCACCCTCCCATGCCCCCCAACAACCCCCATCCCATCCCCCATCCACTCCCCAGGGAGGGTGAGGCCTTTCATGAGGGATCATTGAAATCTGTCAAGTCATTTGGGACCAGGGCCTAGGCCCTCCCCGGAGTATCTAGGCTGGGAAATGGGCTCCTGACGTCCATTTGTGCACTAGGGATACATCCTGGTTCTACTGCCAGAGGTCCCATAGACTGCCCAGTCCTCCTAGTTGACACCCACTGTTCAGGGGCCTGGTTTGGTCCTATGTTGGCTCCCCAGCTGTCAGGCTGGGGTCCATGAGTTCCCACTTGCTCAGGTCAACTGTTTCTGTGGGTTTTCCCAGCAGAGGGGGTCTTGACCTCCCTTTTTTTTCCATCACTCCTCCCTCTCTGAAACCGGTAGCTGATGGAAGCAGATGCAGAGATCCACAGCCAGGTACTGACACATCACACATCTGGATCCCATTCATTTCCCCATTCCATCAAATCCACTCTCCACCCCTGCACTCCCCTCCCATATAAAACAAAATTTAAGAGAAAAAAAGGAAAAACCTCCTCATGGAAGCTACAGTGTGACACAGCAATGCCTTTGTCCATATATCTTTACCTGCAAGTATTTATTACGAAGAGTCATTGGTCTGCTTTGAGGCCTCTAGTTTCTATTACACTAGGACTCTTCTTGGATAGCATGTTGTTACCCTGTGTTGTGAAGACCATGGAGACTTGGGTTTGTGAGTCTGGCCCTTTCACATGCCCCAGCAGATCATAGATGGAGAAGATGTTGGGGCAGGCCAAGTCATACCTCTGGGTCTGAGCCTGGGCAGCCAGACCACCAGTTCTCCCCTGTCCACACAACCAGGGTGAACTCTCAAGCATTGTCCTTGCAGCAATGAGAGAAGGGTAGGGCCAGTTCTCCTGCCTTCATGCCCTCAGGGTCAGCTCAAATTAAGACTCTTGATATGAGATTCAAATGGGGTCAATTTGTTGAAGGTTTTTGGTGTCATTGTTATCCTTTATAAACTAAAAGGAAAAGCTAGAAGGATGGGTTGAGAAGACCTAATACACTCATTATTTGGGAAAAAAGAAAGATTAGTTAAATGGCAGATGGTTGTCTCCACTAAATTGCATGTGTTAAGAAGTGGATTAATGGCCAGGCATACTGGATCATTACTTGAATTCATGGCACATTGTAGGCAGAGGCAGCTGGATCTCTGTGACACTAAAGTTAGCCTGGTCTACATGGAGCGTTTCAGGCCAGCCAGGAAAACATAATGAGACCCTGCCTCAAAAAAAGTGACATCAATATTCTTATACCTATGTGGGGAAAGACACAAAGTCTTAAAATGAGAATGCTAAGGAAATTATTGATAGACTGTTATTCTAGAGTCCAGGAATATGATTAATCTCCAGGAAATGAGATCTATAAAAGGTGGGGATAGAGGTGGTACAATAAAAGTCTTTATTGCCCTGCTGAAACAGCCAGTTTGGGGCTGGACATGTATGTAATTGGCTGTACAAATTAGCATGATCGTTCCAGAAACAGTGCAAGGGTACAGTCAATCCTGAGCCTCCTGGACTGATGCTGGCCAGAGGTGGAGAGAGGAGGGCCACACAAGAAATGCTGATGACGTGGCATCAACAGAAGAGAGTTCCTTATGAAGGAAGATATAAAGAAACAAGGGAAATCATACAAGTCAAGATTTCTAGTGATCAAATAGATAGTGATGTCATATACTAGATGAAATAAGAAACAAATTTGGAAAAGTAGTAAATGTGAAGTTATTTGTGGAATGCAGCCAACTTCATACTTTTACACCCCTCCCTCACTCTCTCTAACCCTCTCTTTTGTCTTCTCTTTATCTTTCCAATCTTTGGTCTTCCTACTTCCTTCCCAACCCAAACACTCCCTAGTTAATAGTTGATCCTTGTTTAAATATTGAGTCAAGCAATGTCCCAGTCAGAGTGCCCCTCGTGCCATGACACTTTGCCTGCTTTCCATAAGAGTTGAATCAGGCAGCTTTCTGTATCACTGTCTTTGATATTCTGTGCATAAGCCTGTGACTACGTTAAAATGCACACTGAATGTTAGGATTCATTCACAGGCCCATTCCACCGAGTTTATTTAAGCTCCTTTTTGTCTTTCATACCACTAGCATTTAGCACAATGCATACTGACAAGTGGTAAGCCTCAATGATGGTTAAATGCATGTCCTCAGTGGGAGAAGGACACTCCTCTCTCTTACTAGGGTGAGAGAGTTGAGGGCATTGAAGGATGTGGCCATCAGTGCCTGGGTGAGAATTTAAATGTGTCTATAGTCTATATTCAATATGTGAGACGAGAGTCATTTCTCAGGAGGAAAAAAATGGTGGAGGAGTGTAGTAGAGATTTGGAAAAGCTATTGTGAGGAGGAAATGGTAGACAAACAGAACTAGTTGGAGTATTGAAGAGCTTGAAGAATTCAGTGGCTAGTAATGCCAATGGCTATTGACTCCTTACACCAGCTCAATAAACCCAGAATGGGTAAGGAGAAGGCTGTCAGTGGGTTCGGGTCTATAAGCATATTCATTACATGACAAAAAAAAAAAGGATGTACTATGAGGTCTAGACCAGAATAGCAAAGGGAAATAAAGGAACCGCCATTAAAGTATGAAAAGGAAAGTTGTTGAGGGGAAGAGTAGTGATGTAGTAGAAACCTGGGTGATAGGGTGAGGGACCACCACCCAATGTAAGAGAAGCCATGGGGTACAGGAAATACCTAGTTAGCTGAGCTCCTTTGAGAGAATAGGATGTTCTTATTGAATTCTAGAACAGTAATTCTACTGTATGGCAATAAAATACCGAGTGCAGCCACAGAAGAAGGATTCTAAACACCTGGAGTTTAATGCTGTGGAATATTATTTGAACTGGGCAAAGATGCATTTCATCTGTTTATGCTACATTTGTTTAACAATGTAAGGATGTGCATTTAATTGTGTAAAGATGTGTTCCATTCGTTTCACTGTACCTATTGTTCTAATAAAGAGCTGAATAGTCAATAGCAAGGGAGGAGAGGGATGGGCATAACTGCCATTCAGAATGAACAAATAGGAGGAAGAATCTAGGCTCAAGAGGAAGAACAAAAGAAGAGATG